ATATTTCGCAAGTCAGAAATTTCGCGCTACACCGGGTCCAGGCTTGTATCTTGTATCTTGGTACCCTCTCTTGTATTTCACAAGGCACTCAATTCTACGAGGTGCGGGGTGTATCTAGAGAGAAAGAGATTTTAGCCGCCTCCCGTTCTCTAGATATTAGTGTTTCTAGTCACCAGTATTTCCCGTGCGTAATCTAACTCTGGTTTTAATAGCCTGTGGTTGTCTCCAATCCAGTTTTCTATTTTTGTCCCTCCTTACATTTATTATAGCTATTACAATTATATAATTGTTCCATGTCTTCTTTTATATTCTTAGTACATCTATTACACATATTGTCACTAAAATTATTTTTAAAGTAGCCTTTGAGATCAATCATACACGTTTTACATTTAAATGCAAAACACGAATCAGTAAATGATAACTCTTTTATGTAATCCTTCAATCCGTATGTTCCAATGTTTATCATGTTCATTTTTGTTTTATCAATAGTTTTCAATTTGTCTCTTTTAATTACTCTTTTTAGAATGGCATCTTTGACTTGTTTTTTCCAAGCTCCTTTTGGTTTTATTCCTATGGCTGTAAATGACACTTCCAGTTCGTACTCCTCTAGGATTACTAAAATTTCATTTCCCCAATTTCTTCCCTCCCCTTTGATTTGCTGTATAAATACTCTCTTCATTAATCCTATGATTAATCTATTGTTATTTAGCTTAACTATGTATTGCAGTAGCATGAGTTTTTTGTATCTTATTTTATCTGCTATTGGTAAAATTCCTAACTCTATCCTTAGTGCTTCCAGCGGTGTTTTACTATGAGCTTTTATTATTTTGCGCATGTAAACCATAAACACACAAACATGCAAACACTCTGAGAACAATATATACAGTGGTGCAGCGGTGGCGTTTCACTTCTCTGTATATATTGTTCTCAGCAAACACTGAGCGGGCGACCGGAAGTAACTCGTGCGCTAGATCCCGGCATGCAACTGTACCCCCCAACCTTTTCAAACATGGCGCGGAATTGACTATATTTCTTCTAACTTTATCTATTGATACAACTCTATCCATGTTTGTTAATTATCGCCGTTCTACATTTGCGTGAGATATTTAGGTTTTACACAAGACGACCAATAGGTTCTGCATTAAGGTGAGTATCCTCGCGCAAGTAATGACATTGACATTGTAAATTAACCCGCCACTCGCCAGCAAACGCTCAGCCACAGGCACTTGGGCTGAGAGGGTCTTAGCTCTAGTACTATAGCCGCTTACATTAACTGCCGCTGGGCTATAGACCGACCCATGGGGCATGCAATGGACCAACGTACTCCAGCCAGTCAGCGGGAGCTATGTATTTCCGCATGTAGAGGGGTGGGCGGGTTGTGTTGGTTGTGGACAAAAACATTGTTGTTGTCAAGTAACAAATTAACAATACATAGTTTTCCGTGACTCAGAATTACCCATAATTCCTACTTTCGGCAGCCATGATGTGAGGCAAACTGGGGGTGTGTCACTTGTGTGGCAGCGTTCGACAGTGTGGCAAGCACTTCACTAGAAATATGTCTATGAGTAAACAAAAACGTAATAGTCAAGATGTGGCCAAGAATATCTATCGTGAAACATTGGATAGTGTGTGTAAGGCAAGATACTTGAACAAATTAAAGGTAATTGCTGGAATAGATCCATACGAGATAGAAAAAGGCGACTGGAGTAAGGACATATCAGAATGGCCCGAGGTGACTTACCCGGATATTGTCAACTATTTGGTGTTTAATCAGAGTGCATACACACTGCAGGAACTAAAAGCATACAAGTCTCTAGAGTCATATAATTATTTTGTTAGTGGCTGGGTGCTTGATATAGGACACTTAATAGTGAGTGATAAGTGCGTCATCTCTGGAAGAGTAAAGCATTCCCAACGAATGAACGATACGTGTCTGGTGCCATGGTTAATTTGCGAAAAAGAGGGGACTGTGCTTTCTGGACACTGCACGTGCATGGCAGGAATAGGGGAAGTATGTTCCCATGTAGGTGCTCTGCTATTTGCTGTCGAGGCTGCTGTGAAAATAAGAAATTCGAGGACTGTCACAGAAGAGAAATGTTATTGGTTGCCGTCTGCAGTGACTAAGGTAAACAGTTAGGTTAATAAGTTAACCTATAATCAAATTATTTCTTTCTATCCATGTATAAAATGATCTCTTTCTATCCATATATAACATGATTTCTTTCCATTCATGTATAATATATATTTGCTGTTACAAAAAGCAATTCTGCAATCTATCGATGATAAAAAATGCTTGTACATCATTTAAATATAATTGACATCTAAAGTAAAATAAAACTGTGCATGATCTTGCGCTTATTTCATGTGTAAAATAACTATGAATTGGCTTTTAATTTACAGGTTCAGTACAAGACAATTCAGGAAATTGACTTTACCTCGGCGAAGATGATGAAGAAACAGTTGGATAGTGTGGTTAGTGGATCACCAGTAACACCCAGCGCGAAACCGAAGAAATTACCTGCTGTGAACGAGCCTACCGCAGCAGAACTATCAGAACTCTTTTCTGCCCTTGACGCTTCGGTACGGAAGCCTGTGTTGTTAGCACTAGTGCCAGGCTTTGCGAGTAAGTTCAAACCGAAGGCATTGAACAAAAAGTACCCTAAAGTGTTGTCTGAACTATACATTGAAAACTGTGGTTTGGTCGACAACAACACACTGACTGGACAATGTGACGAAGTTTTCCGTGAATTAAGTGTGAGGCCGGAAGAATGTGAAAACTGTGAGAATGACACGCGAGGACAGTCTACCAGCAAACAGTGGTTTAGTTTTAGGGCTGGTAGAATAACGGCTTCAATGGTTAAGGCTGTTTGTCGCACACCTCTACAAAATCCATCTAAGAGTTTGATAAAAAACATCTGCTATCCTGGATCAAAAAAATTCTATTCGCTGCAAACACAGTGGGGCTGTGACCATGAGAGTGATGCAAAAAAACAGTACATCGAAACCGCGAGGACAAATCACAAGAACTTTGTCTGGCGTGACAGCGGCTTGGTAATCCATCCAAGCTATCCCTACATGGGAGCCACACCTGATGGCATTGGTGCGTGTGACTGTTGTGGTGAATTTGTGATCGAAATCAAGTGTCCTTACTGCGAGAGAAATTCAGCTAAGATATCTACAGCTATTGATTGCCTCGAAACTCACGATGGAACGCTACGTCTAAAGCGGTCACACAGCTACTACTACCAGGTGCAGTGCCAGTTGCTAATGTGCAACAAGAAGTTTTGTGACTTTGTTGTTTGGACAACGAGAGACTTCTTCTGTGAGCGAATTGTAATTGACTCTAAGTTCTGTCACGAAATGGTTGAAAAATCGAAAAACTTCTTCAAATCTGCTGTTTTACCAGAACTGGTTGGTAAATATTTTTCAAATCCATTGGATTCGGTTCCTTTGGCTGTTTGCACCAATAATTCACCTGATACAATGATTGATGCATGTCAACCAAACACACAGTCAGTAGAATCAGTGGAAGTTATCTGTGTATGTAAAAAAGTGTACAAGGAGGGTGACGATGTCATAGGGTGTGACAATGAGAACTGTCCATATGTATGGCTTCATTTTAAATGTGTGAGAATTAAACGGGCCCCAAAAGGATCTTGGTTTTGCCCAGAGTGTCGAAAGCTTCCGCAGTACAAGAAAGTAAAACAGTAAAAACGTAGTAAACACCATATCAGGAGCCATATCAATACGTTGTGTAGTTTGTATACGTTGTGGTGTCTGCTGATTTTTGACATATGGAAATATGTAGCCTTAGGCTTATAGTTATAAGTTATAGTTACAGTATAAGTTCTTGTGAGTTTACATTCATTAGTTGAACACCCGTCACACTCGTGGTCTATTGCACACGTCCTGCACTATTGTCAATTCGACTGTTGCTTTCACAGCGTTCAAGGTTGACACCTATTGTTAGGCTTATAATAACAAGACTTACTGGTATACTACTAGTACTAGTACCTAGCACCTATCTCAGAGCAATAACCAGTTTGTGATTGAATGCATGGGTCAGGGTGTCGATTGGGTGGTAGGGCCATCGAACCCTCTGTTGTGCTTAACAATATTTATACATGTTATACCAATTAATGTATTGCCAATTTAACAATTTCTCAATGTAGAGTTTTTGCTGTCGCCGTCATCGCCAACGTGATCTTGGTTTTGCCCAGAGTGTCGAAAGCTTCCGCAGTAAACAAGAAAGTAAAACAGTAAAAACATGTAGTAAACACCATATCAATACGTTGTGTAGTTTGTATACGTTGTGGTGTCTCGCTCACTCTATGCTAATATCTTGTTCTCTCTCACTCTATCCATCTCTTGCTTTCTTCACTTTATAATCTACCTCTTGTTCTTTCTCACTCTATATCTTGTTCTCTCTCACTCATAAATAAGAATAAAATACTAGTATAATATTATAAATGTTTAATTTGTTATGTTATTTAATAATGTTTAAGTCTTGCACAGTTCATAATTTGCCAATGAGTGTAACTTATATCACAAATTTTGACACCACAAATATAGACATATCATATTTACACACAATGTACTAGTCAAATGGGACAACAGAAGGACACATATTAGACAATGCACAGCACACAGTTACTATTTTATCAATCGTGGGTGCAGTATCAGATGTGCTGTGAAGATAGTCGATTGGTAGTGTACTCTGTAAAATTGTGTACTTATTTCGTACCAGACCAATAACTCTTTCTACATGTATTCGATTATGTGCAATCTTCCTAGTTGCTTCTAGTTCGACAGGCGACAACTGTTTTTTTCCTTTTGTAAATGCTGGTATCTTAACTTCAGCACACATCAGGCCAACACTTTCCTTTATATCAAACCCTCTGTCGGCTAGAACTATATCTCCCGGTAAAAGTTTGTGCAATAAACCACAGTTTTCTGTTATGAATTTATCAGTGGCCCTCCCACCCCATCCTTTAGAAAGAAATGAAACTGCTCCCTGTGGGGTTATTCCGATTAAAATTTTTACTGTATTGTGGTGTTTATAATTGGACCATGTTTGAGCACGAGCTAATAAATTGGAAGGTCTTTCAATAAATATTTCAAAACAGTCTATTACAATAGACACTTTTACACCAAAATATTTTCTAAACTCCATTGGCATTGACATTTGTAGTTCTTCTCGTTCAGGCCACATAATCAAGCCTTTCATTCTTATGTACATTATATGTATCATTTCATTAAATATTTTTGACACACAGCTTGTCGATACAGTAAAACGGTAGCCTAAATCCTGTAAACTGAGGTTAAGTCTCAGTTTCATTAATACCAACATTAGTTTCCCAAACTTCGTCACAGAGCTTTTAGCTGTCACAGATATACAAGGTGACAAGAACTGAAACAGTGCCATCAGTACTGTAAAAGTCAAACCAGTGTAGTGCTTAACCTTTGCTTCATCGTTTTTCAAAGTGTCCGGCGAGAAAACAGTTTTCCCGAGGCTTTCCTGTAGCTCCATATTTTCCAAAGTGAGACGTTGTAGCTCCATATTCATTTTTGCCATGATATCACAATTTTCGGTTTCTGCTGTGTTATCTGCTTGCTCTAGACATCCTTTCAAAGTAAAGTGGCAGGGTGTTGCAGATGATGCTGTTTCTGTACAGTCTGATAAAGTTTCTGGCAGTGGTTCATTCCTGAGATCTAATAATGCTTGTGCTGCATGATGCTGTTCCCGTTTCTGCTTCCTGTCCTGGGCACGTTTATAGCGTTTCACTGCAGATCTCGAAAGTTTTCCATCTGTTGGCACGTGGTTCTCTTGAGTTGTATCTGGCCCAATTAGCTTCAACGATGGCGCCCAGTCTGGGTTGGTTCTATCATACAATTCAGCCTTTTCACCTGCAAATAGACATTTGAATATGAATATGAATAAAACCCTCATTGAACTAGCATTCAGTGGCACATATTAAAGAGTATATACGGTGTGTATATACACGGTGACAGGGGGAGGTGGGAGGATTGCAGGAGGGAGGTGCATGGGAGGATTATGTACATTGATCACATTTTACAAATGAGAAAATTTACATCATTATCAAAAATTGCAGTTAGCAAATAGTAGATTTGTATTAATTATTTAAGCACTTACCAGAAATAAAATGGTCTGAGCACACCTTGTAGTGACGTTTCGTAGGATCAGGGTTAAATCCTTGACGATTGATCCTAGCCAGCCATAACAACCTACGTTCTCTTGACAGCTTTTCAGTTTCACTTCCTTGGTGTTTTATGGGTCTGGGTATATCATAAAATCGTCGATTGACATTTCCATCATGACGATTTACACAACCCCAAACAACACAAGAATTAACCATTGCGTGGGTTCTGCACAATGTTACTTAACGAGGCAGCGTTGAGTAATCACACAGGTTACTGAGTAATCACACAACAACACACAGATTACTTTCCACACATCATGGCGGCCGACGGAATTCTGGGTAGTGACGTGACGTCATTGGAAAACCATGTATTTCAAACCACAACAACACGACAGGGCGCGGCCATTTTGGAATGACTAAAAACCTGGATCGGAAGACCAGGTGACACCAAAATTCCACTTAAGAAGTCAATATGCACAATTAAATAAAGGAAAGGTCAAGCTATAATAAAATACAGGTTAAAAGGATAACGAGCAAATAAGTAAAACAATAATTATAATAGAATATGAAGAGAAAATTACTCGGCCAGGCAGCTGACGTAATCGGCCTAAATGCGGCACGGTGTGTAAACAAACGGCCAGTAGAAGCAGAACTGACCGGTACAAACCAGTAAATAAGCAATGCCAGCTGGAATACTCCTGCCTAAAGTACTAGGGGAATGGGGAAAAGGCACGTGACTAGGGGGCAACCAAGGCGTATATAAGGCGGCCGAAAATCAGTAGAAAGCAGAACGCGCCGGGGCAGCAGCCCCTAGGAGAACCCAGGAGTCCTCAGGAGAACCAGGCGACCTGCCTTGCCTATAGGAGCACTCAGGAGAACCAGGCGACCTGCCTTGCCTATAGGAGCACTCAGGAGCCC